GGACGCGGCCGGGGGCGCGCGGGGACCCGGGCTCTGGGGCTCCGGGCCTGCGCTGCTCAGGCGCGCGCAACGCAGGAAGGGGACGTGGGCGCCAGTGCGCGTGGAGGGCGGAGGGTGGGGACTAAGCGCTGCCGGGAGACCCCGAGCCGCCCCCTCCGGTCCCCGCGTCCCCTTCGCGCTCAAAGCCGCCTCCCTGCGCTGTCCGGGCCCCCGCGACCACTCCGTTCCCCGCGATCTCTGCCTGGCATTGAGCCTGCCCATCCTCCGCCGTCAGACCCCTCCTCTCCTTCCCAGCCCGGCGCCCCTCCTCGCGCACCCCTGCCACTCGATCCCACGCCCGCGCCGTGCTCTCTGCGTCCCACAGCCTCCAGCCCGTGCCGTCCCACAGGTGTCCGCGCCCGTGCGTGCTGCCGTCCGTGCCTCTGGGCCCGGCGCCGACCATGCCCCGCGGCTGCCGCTGCCTGCGTCTCGTGTGCCTGCTGTGCATCCTAGGGGCTCCGGGTCAGCCGGCCCGAGGTGAGCGAGCCCCGCTCGGCTCGGGTCCTGCACTCTGCACCCGCGAGCACGTTGACCTCTGCCGGCCGGACCCGGCACTGCAGCTGCTCCGACCGCGGGGAAGGCGAGACCCGGGAGTCCCTTTGGGAGTGGGACGGTCTGTGTTGCCGGGTTTCGGAGCCCTGAATCCTCTCCCGAGTCCCGCGCCCCAGAGAGCGGACCTTGGCCCAGGCTCACCGCCTTCACATCCATGTCTTGCAGCTGATGACTGCAGTGTCCACTGCGACCTGGCCCACGGCTGCTGCATGCCCGACGGCTCTTGCAGGTATCCAGACCCTCTGCTCTCCAAGAGCAGCCCTACACACTCACACCCACGTCATCCCCCGACGCAGTGTGGAGGGGCTTAGGACTCTCCTGTGAGCCCCACTGTTTCTCAGCAGCGTGAAAAACAGACAGGCTGCCTCTTCCTCGCCCCCACTGGGCCATTCCCCTTTGCCACCTTTGTCTGCTTCCTCCACCTTCCACGATTTCACCATCCCAGGTCTGGTCCAGGGATTCTGAACTTTGCTCCTCCAGATACCCAGAGGGACCTGGAGATCAGATCCAGGAGGCAAGGGGAAGATGAAGGAAAGAGAAGTGCCGCTTGGGGAGGAAAGGCTGCATGCAGGTGGCTGGGAGTAGTTCTCCGGGAAAGAGGCTCTTTCTTGATGAGTTAAGTAACTGACTTAGTGGGGTGGCTGGGCAGGTGCTGCAGCAGGAGATGTGTGTAGTTCAAGAAACACAGAGCTGGCAATGGTGACATAGGCCTGTAACCCCAGCATTCTGGGAGGCTGAGGCAGGAGGATTGCAAGTTTAGCCCAGCCTGAGCAATTTAGCAATTGAGCAGGTCAGATGTTTGTCCTGGAATTCGGTAAGAAGATAGTCCTAACCTTTCAAGGCCTCTCTTCCCTTAAATGTTTATGCCAAAAATGGTACTCAGAGTATTCACAGACATTGTCTTATTTCTTCCTCACACAGCCTGTGGGGAGTAATCTCAATTTCCAGGTGAGAAAACTTAGGTTCAGAAAGGTTAGACAAGGTACACAAGCAGGGCCCAAGTGCAGGTGCCTGGTGGTCTGATTCTGTGTGTCCTATGGCCCTGCACAGCCCCACACCCACCTGGACAAGTCTGCCTTCCCGTACACAGCCTCCTGGTTTCTAGAAACTCTGCTTTGTCCCTCCACTCCCCCAACGCCCAGCCCTCACCCTGTGTCTTCTTCCCATCAGGTGTGACCCAGGCTGGGAGGGGCTGCACTGTGAGCGCTGTGTGCGGATGCCTGGCTGCCAGCACGGTACCTGCCACCAGCCCTGGCAGTGTATCTGCCATGGCGGCTGGGCGGGCAAATTCTGCGACAAAGGTAGGGGGCAGAGGTGAGCTGTTGGCTGGGGAGGCTGTGTGTCTTAGGGGACTGTCCTTCAGCATTTATTGAGCTCAGCTTGTGTCCTGCTCATATCCTCAAAAGCAGTCTTTTATCTTTTTCAATTTATCTGTTGTGTGAATTAACTCTGTGAGGTTGGAAAGGCAGCGGCTAGAAACTCTACTCATTTTACAGATCAGAGACCCTAGATCACCCTGGGGCGGTGCCCTAGGAGCTGCTGGGAACACAGCCTTGGGTCATCTGGAGGCAGATGTGTCAGCCACCCCAGAGCCTTCTTTGTCTCCCCTGCAGACGAGCACATCTGTACCTCACAGTCCCCCTGCCAGAACGGAGGCCAGTGTGTGTATGATGGGGGTGGCGAGTACCACTGCGTGTGCCCACCTGGCTTCCACGGGCGGGAGTGCGAGCGCAAGGCCGGGCCCTGCGAGCGGGTAGGGTGAGTGCTGGGCCCAGGGTGAGGTTTTGCGAAGCTGGGGACAGGACGGGGAGAGGCAGGAGTGAAGAGAGGGTGGGAGACTGAGGGTCACACCACAGGAAGCCACTCCATGATGAGACTCCAGTGTGGCAAAGTGCCCTGGGCTCAGGATTCTCAACTTTCCTGATGCTTTCTGCACCATTTTTCCAACCACAGCAGTCGGTTAGGGCAGGAGGCAGAACAGATCGTGTGTGACTGCTATGGTCAGGGAGTGGGGACAAGCAGGCCCGCAGCCCTTAAAGATGTCCCACGCACCAGCCTTGCATGTCACTGTGCAGACGATGAAATGGCCCACAGGGCTGGACTTGCCCTGGTTTCCATTTCAGGCCTGACTGGTTGTGAGGATAATAATAGCACACTTATCCTGAGCCCTGCCTTTGGGCCAGACCCTGTGCTCACTGCCTGACACTATTTGAGAAGCTGGTACTACTTTTATTCTCTTTTAAAATGAGGTATTAAAAAAATAAAATAAAATGAGGTGTTTAGAGCCAGGCGTGGTGGCGCATGCCTGTAATCCCAGCACTTGGGAGGCTGAGGCACGAGGATTATTGCGAGTTTGAGACCAGCCTGGGCTACAAAGTGAGCTCAAGGCCAGCGTGAACTGCATAGCGAGACACTGTCTCAAAAAGACAAAAATAAAATAAAATAAAATAAAATGAGGTGTTTGAGGCATTGTGCCTATAATCCCAGCACTCTGGGAGGCTGAGGTGGGAGGATCATGAAATCAAGCTCTGCCTGGGCAATTTAGTGACTTAGGAAGACTCTGTCTTAAAAAATACAAAAGGACTAGGGATAGATAGAGCCAGGTGTGTTGGGCCGGGGAGATAGCTCAGCAGCACAAGCGCCTGCCTGGTAAGCGCAAGGTCCTGAGTTCGATTCCAGGTACAAAAAAAGAAAAAACGATAGAGCCCAGTGTGAAGGCCTTGGGTTCAATACACAGTATTGCAAAAAGAAGTAAATAAAAATGAAATAAAATGAGATGTTAGAGACTGAGTGACCTAAGGTGACACAGGTAGGAGGGGGAGCCAGGGCTTAGGATGCTGACCTGGGCCACCCCACAGGCATCAGAAGTCAGTATCTATGTCCCTTCCCACTGCCACCATAGCTCCCCATGCCGGAATGGCGGGCAGTGCCAGGATGACCAGGGCTTTGCCCCCAACTTCACATGCCGCTGCCTGGCGGGCTTCGTGGGTGCCCACTGCGAGGTGAATGTAGACGACTGCCTGATGCGGCCTTGTGCCAATGGTGCCACCTGTGTGGACGGCATAAACCGCTTCTCCTGCCTCTGCCCTGAGGGGTTTGCTGGACGCTTCTGCACCATCAACCTGGACGACTGTGCCAGCCGCCCATGCCAGAGAGGGGCCCGCTGCCGGGACCGTGTCCACGACTTTGACTGCCTCTGCCCCAGCGGCTACAGTGGCAAGACTTGTGAACTTGTCCTACCCATCCCAGATCCTGCCACCACAGCAGGCACCCCCGTGGGGCCCACCTCGGCAGCGGTGGTCCCTGCCACAGGGCCAGTGCCCCATAGCGCAGGCGCAGGCCTGCTGCGCATCTCAGTGAAGGAGGTGGTGCGGAGGCAGGAGGCTGGGCTGGGGGAGTCAAGCCTGGTGGCCTTGGTCGTGTTCGGGGCTCTCACCGCTGCCCTGGTCCTGGCCACCGTGCTGCTGACCCTGAGGGCCTGGCGCCGGGGCATCTGCCCCCCTGGACCTTGTTGCTATCCAGCGCCCCACTACACCCCTGCCCGGCAGGACCAGGAGTGTCAGGTGAGCATGCTGCCAGCAGGGCTGAGCCTGTCACCAGACCTGCCCCCAGAGCCGGGCAAGACCACAGCGCTGTGATGGCGGTGGGGGCGCCCAGCCCCCATCCTCACCTCCTCCACACCTCAGACTGTAGCGATCCTTCCTCGCCCCTCAGCACGGATGTATGCATCAAAGGAGCTTCAGCCTCACACCAGAAATACTATTTTTTTAATACACAGAATGTTTTATCAAATAAAACTATAAAAATATAAATGGGCTCCTGTGGCAGAAAAACCGTCCGCCTATGGCTGAGGTGAGGGGCACTAGGACAGAGGCTTGATCCAAGGGAGGCCTTGGCACTTGGCCCCCCAAGAAGTGGTTCCCAAGACAACAGCAGTGCTCCTGTCCCCTCCAGAAGGAGGCGAGAGGTAGAGCCTTGGAGGACGATGTAAACAAGTGGCCAGCACCTCTGCGCCAGCCCTGCTGCTCAGAGGGAGGGAACGGTCCTGGGGGACACAACCTGGGGCTCAGGTTTCTCCATCCAGGCCACTCTGTAGCAGCTGCTGGAATCCTGAGTGTCCCTGGTCACGCAGGGCAGTAGGGGAGTCCAGCCCCACGACCCTTCCTGCATGGAGCACCAGCACCCGGTCTGAGTTCAGGATTGTGTTGAGCCTGTGTAGGAGACAGTAGTCAGTACAGGGGGCAGGGGATGGTGCCCTGCAGGAAGAAGCTGACCCATTGTCCCTCTGCCCTTCCAGCCCAGCACAGGTATGTCCCCACAGGCCTCGGTCCCTGGCAGGAGAGACTGCTAGGTCCCCTCAGACAATGTGCCACCAAAGGTCAGGGCAGTGCTTGGAGGTAGGAGCCAGGATCTGAGCCCTGACCCTAGGGTCCCTACAAGGATTGGAGGGCAGTTCTAGGTTCTCTCTGGGCACCGGCGCACCTATGGGCGATGGTCAGCACGGTCTTGTTGGCGAAGCGCTGGCAGATGGTTTGCTGCAGCAGCTGGTCCGTCTTCTGGTCCACACTTGCTGTGGCTTCGTCGATACAGAGGATCTGGAACATGGTATGCGGAGAGCTGTAGCCCAGGCTGCCAAGAGCTCTGTTCCCTGTGATGCTTCCCGTCCCAGCCCCCCAGACACATCCCGATTCCTGCCCAGGCCCCTCCAGTGTCCCTTTATGCCTCACCTTGGCATCCGTGAGGAGAGCCCTGGCCAGGCACAGCAGCTGCCTCTGTCCCAGGGACAAGCACCGGCCCCCTTCGCCCACCTTGCTGTCCAGGCCACCTGCAGGGCACAGCAGCATCACTACAGGCCTCCCGCATTCCCCCCTGCTCTCCACATCAGGGACAGCACTCACCCATGGAGGCTACCACCTTGCTCAGGTGGCACTGCTCCAGGACCTGCCACAGGGCCCTTTCCTCATGCAGGCCGCGGGGGTCCAGGTTTTCCCGAATGGTCCCACTGAACAGGAAGGGCTCCTGGGGGATGATAGCTAGCTGGGATCTGAGGAGAAGGACATGGGAGCCAACTGGAGATATGGCCACTTCTCAAAGCGTAGGTTTTAGGGATGGGACTAGCACTTCTAGGAGAGCCCAGGATGGGGGCTGAGAATAAGCCCTCTGCTTCACACCACATCCCCACCCAATGCCCAGTGAGCCAGCTGGGCACCTGGCACTCAGGTGGGGTTCTGGGCAGTGCCAAAGACCTGGACCCCATTCTCAGGAGCCCAAATCTCACTGAGGAACCAAGACAGAGGAAGTGAACAGGCTACACGATATGATACTGCCTCCAGGGACAGCACAGGCTAGGGAGGGGACAACCAGACTGGATGTGTGAGGAGAGGACTAGTCCTGAGGGCCTGTAAGGTTGAACTATAAAGGGAAGCCCACCACTTAGACGAGGCAGGGCCAGGGAACATTAAGTCCCAGGGCTTAGGACCCAGCCTCCTGCCCCTTCCATGACAGGGAGCTGAGGAAATGACCCTGGGCAACTGGGGATAGGGGATCTAGGGCAAGCATGAGGCCACTTGTGACCACGGGCAACTGGCTCAAGTCTCAAGCTGTCCCAGGTACCACCAGCTGAGCCCGGGGACAAGGGACCTTGGCATCTGTGGCTGTAGCCCCTGAGAGCTCTGATTTCAAAGGGTGCACAAAGAAGACAAAGCTGCAAATGTGGCCCGGGTCACAGTGAGCAAAACCGAGGCCACTACTGTAACTCTGACCCAAATTCTCATTGCCTCCTGCTTGTCTCATCCCGCACCTCTGCCCCCACTGCCCCTGGTCGTCCCAAGCTTACAGATACCTTCTGGGCTATGACCCACTCTAAGTGCCAGGGTTCCTGGCTGCCTCTCCCCCTCAGTGCCCCATCCCTGTCCCCAGACCTGAGCTCGGCCAGCTCCAGCTGGCTGGTGTCCACGTCGTCCAGCAGCACCCGCCCAGCGCTGGGCTCCACCAGCCGGAACAGCACTAGGAACAGGGACGACTTCCCAGAGCCCGTGCGGCCCACAATGCCCAGCTTCTCTCCGGGCTGTACACGGAAGGTCACCCCATCTAGGGCATGGGGCAGCCCCGGCCGGTACACGAGCACCACATCCTGGAACTCCACGCTCCCCTGGGTCAGCCAGCTGGTAGGCTGTGGGTGCGAGATAGACGGAGACCGTGAGGCAAGGAGGAGGCACAGTACAGAGGGCTGGAAGCAGGGAAAGTAACAGGAAGTGGATGGGTAAGAGAAGGGATGGGGGGTGGATACGGGGATGCAGTGGAGAACGTTGGCGACCACGTGAAAAAGCGGAGGGGGCACAGAAAGATGGTGAGAAGTAAAGGGAGGAGTGGGGAGAGACAAGGCCTTTGGAGTTGCAGGCTCTGGCTTGGGGTGGGGGACGGTGCACCTGCAGCACGCAGCCCCGGGGCTCCTGGGCCAGGTCACAGGAGTACTCCTCCAGCCGCTCCACGCTCACCAGCATGACTTCCGTCTGCGTGAAGCTGCTCACCAGGCCCGAGAGCAGCCCCGTGAGGGACAGGGCATAGGACAGCGCAAGCCCCACCAGCCCTGGGGAGATGAGCACAGTGCTAGGGGAAGGCAGGCAGGCCAGGGGAACCCCGGGTGCAGACACAGTGCTTATAGGAAGTGGGCCAAGAGACAGGGAGATGATGGCCCAAGGCCAGGCCCCTGGGAGCTGGGGGAGGGAGGGGGGTAGGCTGTGGAAGCCATGAGGGGTGACAGTGAGAGATGGGGGGGGAGTTGAGGGGCTGGGTGCTGGGAGCAGGGAAGAGGTGAAGACTTATTCCAGTCTCAGACCCACCACCCAGGGGGCAATTGCTCCTTGAAACTCAGTTTCTTCAACTCCAAAATGGGGGTGATGGTGAGGGGCAGGGCCATCTGCACTGGGAATGCTGGCCCAAGGGGGACAGGTTGGGGGACAGCATGGGAGAGGTCTGGGGCAGGAACGAGGGGTCTGGGGTGGGGCGAGGTGTCTGAGTGGCACCTGGGTTAGCGAGGCCCTGCTGGTGCTGTACCAGGGCAATGCCTGCAATGGCACTGACCACCGCTGCCCCCATGAGCTGCAACCGGATGTCCAGCCACTGCATTGTGGCATAGGAAGCAAACTGGCACCTCTGGTTCAGCTCCAGCAGGCGTTGGTTCTCTTCCTCGAACCTGGGGAGGCAGAGGGAAACGGGGCCGCCCTGCTGCACCAACCCACCTTCCCGGAAACCCACCTCGTCCTGAGAGCTGACCCACGCACCTGTGCGCCTCAACTCAGGAATGCAGTGATCCCTGTGTATGCTTTTGTTTGTGACCTGGGCTGGCTTTGAATTTGCAATCCTCTTGCCTCAGCCTCCTGAGTGCTGGGATCACAGGTGTGTACCACCCTGCACAGGTGCTCTTTTGAAGGGGGGCCCTGCTCTACCTCACGTTCTCTTCTGTTTTCACCCTTCCTCTAGGACCCCCACCCCCAACTCTTCCTCAGGAGGCCTGGGCTCCCCCGGCCTCTCATGTCCCTCTTCCAGGGTCCTCCACCCTCCACTATGAGCTCTGGTCACGACAAGTGACCCTACGCACTGATAGGTGGCCCCAGCTGCCCGGAGCACAGGGAGGCCAGCCAAGGTGTCGGCCAGGTGGGTGTAGAGCGGAGACAGGGTGAGGCTGCTCAGGCGCCGCAGCTCCCTCGAGGAGGCCCGGTAGTAGCGCTGCACTCGGTGGTACACAATGCTCAGCGGTGGCAGCAACAGCAGCAGCCAGGGCAGGCCGGAGCCCAGCACAACCAGGAGGCCCAGCAGGCCCACCGCATTGGCCAGCAGGATGTTGAGGAGGAAGGGCAGGCTATCATCCACACACGCCACATCAGAGGAGAAGCGGTTCACCACTCGGCCCGTGGGCGTTGAGTCAAAGAAAGACACAGGCGCCTGCAGAGGGGGTGGTGGGCAAGGTGGACTCTGGAGAGAAGGGGTTGGCAGGATGCCCTGGGATGGGGCAAGGTGTGGGATGGCCCGAGGTTAGAAATGAAAAAGCAGTAAAGCATGTCCAGGGCTTGGGAGAAGAGGAGGCGCTGGTGGAGCTGGGAGGAAGACCATCCCAGGCAGGAAAGGGTCTCTCGACTCCTGGCCAACCCTCCCCCTGGATGAGGTGTATCCAATACTCTCCAAGGGTGAGGAGCTAAGATCTCTCCAGAAGATAGGGACTTCCAGCTAGTGAGTGCCAATGAGTCAGAAGTCAGGAGGAATCCTGATTGCTCATGGCTAGACAGCATGGTGAGAATTGTTGGCCAAAGTCAAAGTTATAGTAAGAGCTCGGGCTCTGGAGTCAGACTACAACTTGAATTTCAGCTCTCACACTGGGAGATGTGAGACCCCAGGCTAAGGACACAGTTGCCTCTCAAAGGCCCCTGTTCCACTTCATCTAAACAGCGAGGACAAATGGAACTACACCTGTTAGGGCTGCTGGTAGGATTAGGGACTAATCCTACAGAGCAGTCAAGTGCTTGGCACATCTGCTTGGCACATAGTAGGTGCTCAATAATAGATAGCTATTGGAGGTATGGTCTCAAGGTGAGCCCTTTCCCTTCCCCGTCTTCCCTGTTCCCACTTCTGCTTTTATTTTGGGAGCACTCCTATCTTTAGGCAAGGGACAGGTCAAATGACTTTCAGTGCCTCAGTTTCCTTAGCAGTAAAATAAGGTGACAGTGCCTACCTCACAGGGTTATTGTGAGGCCCTAACAATAGACAAGAAAGGGATTTGTAATGACAGCAATTTCATAATTGCTAAGTGAGCATC